TATTAAAAGCACAAAGTAAAACAGTATATACTGCTTATAAGAAAAATAACTCAAGTGAAACCATAAGAAAGGAAGAAAATTGAGGGATGATAAAAGATATATCATATAAAAACTATCAAAATAAATAATTTAAGGCAAAATGTTTTAATTGTGTCAAAGAGGGCAATTACATAACTCTATAAGGAAGCATTCACAGAGAAGATGAGTCATAAACTTATACTCATCTAACATTTAGTGTCAACATAGAAAATGGCAAAGAATAACTAAAATGTAAACATGAAGAGAATGAAAGAATTGGATTTACAGTACAACCTGAAATATCAGAATGCTGTAGGAGCTGATATGCTCCTTCTATGATGACTAGAGGTGAGACACAGGAGATGCCTGGAGATGTCCGTGAATTTAGATGTGTAGTAGGAGGAAATATGAGATTTCTCCTCCAATGGCTTCTATTTTCTCATCAAATTATAAGTCAAGGGTGTAAGAGGAGAGTTTGTGGATGAAAGGGAAGTTAGAGAGGTGGGATATTTAAGGAGAAGGTATAAAAGTGATTTAAGTGAATGGAAAAGTGAACACACTAGAGAAATACACTTTAAATGTTGAGCAATAGTGAGTGGTCATTTGTACTTCAGAGTCATAAATTTAAAATTTTGCATAGTTTCTCCCAGCATTTTTTTTTTTAATTTTACTGGGGAACATTATGTTTTCCCAGGACCCATCCTCCAAGACAAATGGTTGTTTCAATCCAGTTGTGGAGGGCGCAGCTCCTTGGCCCATGTGGGAATCGAACTGGCAATCTTGCTGTTATGAGCCTGTGCTCTAACCACCTCAGCTAACTGGCCACCCCCTCCTCCAGCATTTTGTAGTCTGGTACAGGCCAAATAATATAGATTCACCAGGTAAGCATTGCAGAGGAAATAAGGTTAAATTGAACTCAAGTCCTTTGCAATGGAATTGCTAGAATAACTGAGGAACCAAGCCAGTGTAAAATGACAAGTGAAGGTAGTAAGAGTTCGGCTGGTTGGAGCTATTAATGAAACAGAAGTATTGTACTGGGCTTACTTGAGAGCTGGAAAGATGGACAGGTATGTTCAGAAAAGCAGTGCTTGGAATTGAGATTTTGGGGGTGATGCGTTTACAGTTAATGACAAAGTGTTTAGAGTTTGAATCAAGAGTATGTGGCTGAGGAGAAAAAATGGTGTTGGAAGAAAGTAGTCAAGGAAGTAAGTGGTCGGCCATGTAGGTAGAGGATGACAGTGTTCAGAATCTCTAGTCTTCAAAGAATGAGGGAGGGTGACTGGGAGGCTCCCAGTAGTGAATTTGCCTTAGGATTTCAGGGGGATTCTGGTGTATTTTGAACATAAAACATCTCATGTGATCCTTGATCCCTGCCTTAATTCTGAAAGTCCATTCTTCTCAGTGATCTTTGCACTGAAGCTGAGGCCATAGACCATACTTCCTGAAGTACTCCTTATCACACTCCTTATCACAGCCTCTAATACCTGTGGGTTGGACATGCAGAGTAAGGTGCTTAACAACAGGAAACACAGAATGGACTTAATCTCTTTTCCATACCATCATGTTTTAGCAGTACTTGATTTTTGGATGTTTTTATTTTGATTCGATGGCCATTTTGCCACACAGAATATAAATGATTACTATATTTATTTCTGTTATTGATAGATGTCAAAGCTGGTATATTTTCCCTTATTATTTAGACTCTCATCTCTGAAGAACTATTTATTCCTTGATCTGATCCCAATACCCCTTGCCTGTGTTACATACCCTTCTACTCCATCCTCTAGTGATCCACACAGATCATCAACCAACTCCCATCTAAAGCTCCTCCTCCTCTCAGCACTTCCTTCACCTTCTCGGCTTGAATTGTGACCTGAATATCACCCACCATTACCACTTTGCTTCTGGTTCTCTAAAACAGGAAATTAGTTCTCTTACTCTCCACGTGACTCAAGGCCAACAGCTGGGGCAGGTGTCTTCCTTCCTACAAATTCCTAATAAACCCCCTTCCCTCTTATCTATTTAAAACTCATAAGTGCTATAAAGATAAAACTGCCAGGTTTCATTTTCCTTCACCCCTACTCATGGCAGCTATAACTTCCATGGAATTATTTAAAATTTATATAAATTATGTAAATTCTAACTTGTTTCAGTTAGAATTTGACTTGCCTTCTATTAAAGGCTATATACTATGTCACCCATTTTGACATCAGAATATGCATATTGTATATAATTAGTGGCAATAAAGGCGCACACCTCTACATTTAAAAAAAAATCAATGTAATAATATTTGAATTAATCCAACAAGTCAATTAGAAGTGAGATTCAGGCTTGAGGTAGGTAGAGGCCTCTTCTTTCACGAGCTGGTGAAAACCATAGAACTTCTACAGTTATCTTCAATCTTACACCATCTTTCAATTTTGTTAATCAATGAGTTGAGACTGAATTCCTAGTTTGAATGTATGAGAGGGCAGTAAGTACTTCCAAGGAAAGACACGATGGTATTCTAACTGAGCTGATTTATAGCGTGCACCTGACTTCACCAGGCAGGCACAGCGACTTCCTGGAAGATGGAAGTAGGGAAGACTCTTTGTGATAGGTATCCCTGCACATTTTCTTGCTATGTATCTTTACATAGTTTTTGTTTCCTTTTTACTTATTGAATCATCTGTATCTGTTAGTATTTTCTCAGAAATTACTATCAACTTCCTTTTTTATTTTTGGTTTTGCTTCACAAAATGGACGTAGTAAAAAAGCTTCCACAGTGCCTTAAAATGTTTCACTAACAGATTACTTTAACAAGAGGTTTTCAATAAATATCTATTTCTATTAGAAAATTCAGTAAGAAATAAAGGCATCGGAACCCTAATACTATATAACACAGAAATAAAGTTACATTAACATAGCTTTTTAGAACCATACATAAATATAACATTGTTATTTGTTTCTGTAATTCTTGGTTGACAGGTAGATAACACTGAATTTTATTTGTTATTTCTGCTTACTAACATAAAATTGTAGACTTTTCCTAAAACTATGTTTACATAAATAGCTAAATGCTTTTTAAACTCGTAATGTAAGCAGAATGCATATCCCTAAAGGCATCAAACAATTAGCAAGTCTAATACTAAGTAATTCAAATATCTGCCTGCCATATATGTACCTTATAATGCATTTATTACCACAACTTTTTCTGACAGTTTGTTAAATATGAAATGTGTCACAATGCCATGTCCTTGAGAGATCCCTAAAGTCTTTGTGCTCTTTCAGTCACTGATGATTCCCAGTCTCTTAACATTCCTTAGCAGGTATGTGTAATAAAACAGTTTTCAAAACAATTAACATAGTGATGGAACATTTCACTTAGGCGTGTCAGTTATCTTAACAAAATATCATTCCCTTAATAGTTATGAAATATTTACAGCAAGAGATAAATTAATGGAAAAATTCAATGAGACCCTGGGATATTGATTTGGAACTGTGTTGTAATAGTCATTTTGGTATGAACAAAGTGTATAAACAAAAACAGGTTAACCACTGTGATATTGGACACCTGGACCTCATATTCATCATTTTGTCTTTGAAACATGCATAATTAATATATGTCTCCCTTGATTGCTGATTCAATAAATCTAATTTGGCTATTTCCATATTTATTAATTTTACTATTTGGGATGTTAAGTGGTGTGTATTTTTCAGGTATAATTTTGCTTACCAAAGTAAAATGCCTAACTTACAAAATATTAGTTTACTTCATTTTAGCTTCCATTTAATTTTCCTAGGATATGTAAAGCTGTAAGCACTTAATAGATTGTTGGCATAAATATCCTATATTATGTGGGTCCGTAGTATTTCCATGGCTTTATAAATCTGCTAGAAATAAAATTTTGCTTGGTATCTAGAACTAATCCATAATATATTGGCTCAATAGGATCAATCAAATGGAAACTCCTTACTAAGATGATTTTGTTGGAATATAATTGTAGTTGAGCCCAACATTAACATTCCAGGGCTGACAATGACACTGGGACAATTTCAGTTGGAGCAAACAACTGAAATTCCTTTAGTAGAAATAATTTTTAGTGAGTATTTTTCCTCTTTTTAAAAGAATAATAACAGCATGATAGTAACAGAATTTTAACTATGCTGTCATTTGGAAATTAGATGTAGGGAATAGATAAGGTTTCTTTTTTAGCTAATTGGAAAAGAAGAGGGGTTTGGAATTAATATTCACACTCTACTGGGAACTTAGAGACAAATTAAAATGTTAGATATAATTAAATCATAGAGTTTGAAAGGACTTGAGAGGTCATCTATCTTGTCAAATCACTTTCATTTGAGAAGGAACAAACTTAAATCATCCTTCCATGATTACTATCTGAACCCTTTCAAAGATAACCCCAATTAGCTTAGCAACCCAAAACAATGTTTAGCAATTTTCATCTTTGGAAAAACCATCCTGATCTCTGAATGCTTCAAGCTGCAGACAAACACTTTCGGTACTTCATCAGTTTATATGAAGAAAGACATATTTAAAATCTTTCCATGAGGAATTAAAAAGCTGCCAATTCAAAGTTGCACTGTTCTAACCAGAGGAATTCCTTTTTTCCTTTAACTGTTTTTATTTTTGGGTTTCCTTTCAAGCATTTTCGTTATTTTTATGATTCTGCATTAATATTTCCAAGTCTATATCCCACTTACTTTCTTGAAGCCTAAAATAGACAAGAAGCCTTCAAAAATTGGCTTATTTGTAGTTAGCACAACAGAAGATTTCCTATTTGTTCCTACCACTGTGTATTGTGTGTGTTTTAAACTTGTGCATCCCTATACTATCTATATGTTTTTCTATTGTCATAATTAATTCCCAAAATTGTTCTCCATTCACCCTGTTCACTTACATTTTTCTCTGGTACTTGGTATTCATTAAAATGAATTTGTATATATGAAGAGTTAAAAAAAATTATTGGGAGAATTGAACTCACCCTAGGAGTGAAGGTGGCATCATTGATAGAATGCATGTGACCATAAAGTGTCTGCTCGCAATTACCCTAGAAAGACAAAGCAGAAATCAAATAAAATAAAATCCATTCCATATGTGTAAAGAAATTGAAGGGTAATTAATTTTATTTTTTAAGTAATGTTTTAGTCCAATAATAAAATTAATACATTCCCGTGACTGAAAATGTCACGAGATATTTTCTTTCAGCTCCCGTTCAGAATCAGGCAGGGCTGCGCTGATGAGTCTGCCACCAGGACTGGTAACTACGCTAAAAATCTTGCGTCCTTGCTTTTATGCCATTGAACTGGTGGTGACCTCTCACCAAACGACTCCATTTTGCAGTTAGCATAGTTTTTAACTAATGGGGCCAAGTAGTGAAGCCCTTATGGAAGGCTCTTGCTTTCAGCACATGATTTCTACCACTGCTAGGGGTGTGGGTCCTTTTTTCTCTTCTGTTTGTAGTTATAGGATCATGCTTTAATTTCTGAATTTTCACAATTTGGCATTAAAATCACTACATGTATAAAAATGTTACACAATACGTATAGCGTTTTTAACACAAAATAAGCATTTTTGTGAAAACTGTATTTATCCATCCATTCAGATCATCTTTTCCAAACAAAAGCAAAAGTCATTGTAAAAATTTCCAAGCTTCAGTTTAAATGATTCCAGGAAAAATGGTCCATAATACAATTACAAAGGGGATTTAATGTGATGCCTATCATTTTTACACCACTGTTCAAAGGGCATTCTTAACTATTTTAGGGAAATAACCCAGATTCTGTAGAAGAACCAGAAAAAGATATACTAGAATATCGTTTGCAGATATTAGCAAATATTGTTTGTTGTGGACTGAAATTCAGATTTAATTCAACAATGTACTCATTCAACAAATATTTTTGAGCAATTACTATATGGCAAGCATAATTCTAGATGCCTATTCTATTGTAGATGTTATGTCAATGAATAAAACAAAGAACTTTGTTCTCAATGACTTTACATTGTAGGGGGAGAGGGAGGGAATAGACATATTTAAAAAAGGTATAAAGTATGTTAGAAGATAATAAGTATTGTGAAAATAATAAAAGTCAGGCAGGGTAAAGGTATCATCATGAGTTTTGGGATTGAGGAGCTAAGGACAAACCACATTGTCAAGTAGAATGAGGTGGTTTGACCACACTCCAAAAGTAGTTTGAACAAAGACTGATAGGGGTAAAGGGAGTTAGCCAAGCAGACATTTGGAGAAGAAACATTCCAGAAACAAGGAAAAACTGGAGCAATTGTCTCAAGGTGGGAGTTTGCCTGGGACGTTTCTGGAATAACAAGGAGCCAATGTGGCTGGAGAGAAGTCAGGCAGAAGACGCAGATTTACTCAAAAGTCTTCATCTACTCTCATTCACTACTTTGCATTTACTTAGTTCTAAACTCTTTAAGGCTGGAAGAGAGATTACAGGAAAAACTATAAAAAAGAGATATGAAAGATAGAGAGAGGGTCATCATCATCCACCTCATTGTTATAGGACATTCATGGAATTTTTTGGAACTGGGCAAAGTTGGAAAGGCTTTACAACTAGGCTCTCATTAGTCTTCATGACTGAATTCAGCAAATTGGATTTCAAATATTTGTTTACAGAAATAATGCATGCTATTAACACCTTTTCACAGAATGCAAAATTTACCCACATGAATTTAAATTTCGTAAAAATATGTTGACACCCTCTGCCACTCTCTCAGAATCCCCCTGCCCATGTTATTCTGCTTCAGTATCTTGATACCAACATAACACCAATTATGCTGAGAACTTGAAATCACCTAAAGTCCTAAAGTAGAAATAAATTACTTACAAGGCCAAAAAAGTGAGGTATAAAATGTTATAATTAGCTTTCATATATTAGCTTAGCGATTTTTACAGTTAATTTCACTTGAGAAATAATAACATA